CACACTTCCTTAAGTTTTCTGTGTAAGTTCTTCACTTGTGGTTGTTAGCCAAGATGGTCCTTTAGACTGCTGTTTTTCTATTCAGCTTGCTCATCATAGAAAACTACCATTGCTTTGCCCCCTTGACTAACTGGTTTCCTGTCATGTGAGCAGATCTAGACTTTTATGCAGTAAGTTTCATAATCTAAGCTAATGTCTGCCTATAGTTGGGCATAGTGATGCACATGTGTAATCTCAGTGACTCAGGAGGCTGATGCAGGAAGAGCCAAAGTTCAAGACCAGACTCAGCAACTTAGCAGACTCCATCTCAAAATAAAACATTAAAAAAGACTGGGTATGAAGCTCAATGGTAGAATTCCTCTCAGGTCAATTCCTAGTACCAAAAATTAACTAATTAATTAATTAGTGTCTGTCAAAGAACAAAATCACAATTGAAATCTTGATTAGCTTTATTTTTTAAAAAAATTTATAGATGGACACAATATCTTTATTTTTATTTATGTTTTTATGTGATGCTGAGGATCAAACCCAGTGCCTCACACATGCTAGGCAAGCACTCTACCACTGAGCTACAGTTGAAGCCTTACTGGCTTTATTTATTTTTATTCTAATTTATTATATATGATAGTATGCATTACAATTCATATTACACATATAGAGCACAATTTTTCATATCTCTGGTTGTATACAAAGTAGAGTCACACCATGTCTTCATACATGTAGTTAGGGTAATGATGTCCATCACATTCCCCCATCCTTTCTACCCCCATGCCCCCACCCTTCTCCTCCCATCCCTTTTCCCTATCTAGAGTTCGACTAATCTTCCCATGCTCCCCCGCAAACCCATTATGAATCGGCCTCTTTATATTTTTTGGGGGGTGATTGGCTAACTTCACTTAGCATTATATTCTTCAACTCCATCCATTTACCTGAAAATTCCATGATTTTATTCTCTTTTAATGCTCAATAATATTCCATTATGCACATATACCACATTTTCTTTAGCCATTCCTCTACTGAAGGGCATCTAGGTTGGTTCCACAATTTAGCTATTGTGATTTGTGCTCCTATAAACATTGATGTAGCTGTATCACTGTACTATGCTGTTTTTAAGTCCTTTGGATATAGGCTAAGGAGTGGGATAGCTGGGTCAAATGGTGGTTCCATTCCCAGTTTTCCAAGGAATCTCCATACTGCTTTCCATATTGGTCACACCAATTTATAATCCCACCAACAATGTATGAGTGTGCCTTTTCCCCCACATCCTTGCCAACACTTATTGTTATTAGTATTATCAATAGCTGCCATTCTGACTGGAGTGAGAGGAAATCTTAGAGTAGTTTTGATTTGCATTTCTTTAATTGCTAGAGATGTTGAATATTTTTTCATATATTTGTTGACTGGTCATATACCATCTTCTGAGAAGTGTCTGTTCAGTTCCTTGGCCCATATATTGATTGGGTTATTTATTTATTTATTTTTTGGTATTAAGATTTTTGAGTTCTTTATATATCTAGAGATTAGTGCTCTGTCTTATGTGTGTTTGGTAAAACTTTTCTCCCAAAATGTAGGGTCTCTATTCACCTGATTGTTTCTTTTGCTGAGAAGCTTTTTAGTTTGAATCCATCCCATTTATTAATTCTTGAACTATAGGAGTCTTATTAAGGAAGCCAGGGCCTAATCTGACATGATGGACATATGGGCCTATTTTTTCTTCTATTAGATGCAGTGTCTCTGGTTTAATTCCAAGGTCCTTGATCTACTTTGAGTTTTGTGCATGGTGAGACATAAGAGTTTAATTTCATTTTGTTGTATATGGAGTTCCAGTTTTCCCAGCACCATTTGTTGAAGAGTCTATCTTCTCTCCAATGTATGTTTTTGGTGCCTTTGTCTAATATAAGATAACTGTAATTATGTGGGTTAGTCTGTCCTCTATTCTGTATCATTGGTCAACCAGTCTATTTTGGTGCCAATACCATGTTGTTTTTGTTACTATTGCTCTGCAGTTTAAGGTCTGGTATAGTGATGTCACCTGCTTCACTCTTCTTGCTATGGATTGCTTTAGCTATTCTGGGTCTCTTATTTTTCCAGATGAATTTCATGTCTGCCTTTTCTATTTCTATGAGGAATGTCATTAGGATTTTGATTGGAATTGCATTAAATCTGTAGAGTGCTTTTGACAGAATGGTCATTTTGACAATATTAATTCTGTCTATCCAAGAACAAGGTAGATCTTTCTATCTTCTAAGGTCTTCTTTAATTTCTTTCTTTAGCTTTCTGTAGTTTTCATTGTAGGGGTCTTTCACCTCTTTCATTGGGTTGGTTCCCAAGTTGTTTTGTTTTTGTTGAGGGTATTGTAAATGAGGTAGTTTTCCTCATTTCCCTTTCAGAGGATTTGTCACTGATCACACAAATGCTGACTAGCGTTATTTTTTCATTCCAGAATTGGGCAACATTTCACTCCACAAAACAGAATGAGTATTACGATAGGTTGAACAAGGAAGGTTAGATTTATAGAGAGTGAAAACTTGAAGAAAGCAGGAACAAAAAAAATGGATTGATCATTTCAAAATTACTTTCCTTGGAAAGCAGGAAAGAGACAAAAGCAATGGAAAAATAAATGATTGGTTAATATCAGACTAATTTTTGTGGAGTAAAGATTAACTTCATTATCAATCCAGTCTGCTTGGGAAATCTGGATGGTTTCTATCTGATTCTGATTCTTCAGCAGGTCAGATAAAGAGTTTGCTTTACTTTTGGTGACATGGAATTTCAGCAAAGTTGATTCCATTTTAATTTTCAGCCTATGGGGCCCAATGCAGGAACTCAGTTCAAAACAATGCCCTCCTGTGATTTTATGGAACACTCTCAGTCTTACTTTACATGATTTTATAAATTTCTTAAAACTGAGTATTTGCTTGATAGGCTACAACCTTCTATGGCATTTACTAAAACAAAGGTTTTTAACTGTAAATACACATCTTTTGCAGCTCAGAAGCTTCTCTAAAGGACCGGGGAGCCATTCTCAGGAATGGGACAACAGAATCCTAACCTTGACAATGGCCAGTCATCAAACACAAATGGCCTAGTCTCACTTACACTTATCACCCCTTTATACTTTTTACTTCTCTGACTCTGAGACCCCTCCCGCTGGTTATTTGCTTTTAGTAGGCTTTAAATTGCTGGTTTTGGAGGCTACACAGCTGTTCTTCAAAATAATATTACATTATTAGTCCCCCACTATCTTTACTGAGGTATGGGTTATGAAGATGTTTGCCTAAGTTAGGTTTCAGGGACCCGAGGGCCATTTTTGGGGAAACCACCAACTCTTCACTTGGGCCTCTGCAGGTATCCAATAGGTGAGCTTTTGACATCAGGAGGCTGAGAACGCCCTCATCTCATGCTCACACTCCATTTTCTTTTTTCTTTTTTTTAAAGAGAGAGTGAGAGAGGAGAGAGATAGAGAATTTTTAATATTTATTTTTTAGTTCTCGGCGGACACAACATCTTTGTTGGTATGTGGTGCTGAGGATCGAACCCGGGCCGCACGCATGCCAGGCGAGCGCGCTACCACTTGAGCCACATCCCCAGCCCTCACACTCCATTTTCTGAACATGTACCCCATGAAGAGCCACGAAGGCTGATTATGTTTCAGCAGATCACTGATTACTTCCCTTCCAATCTCATTTTCCCATGCCTGAAATTACCCTGCTTCTTTATCCCATAAACATCCCCAAACATTGGCATCAGAGAGGTGGATTTGAAACTAGGGTCTCCTGTCACCTCACACCTGTGCACCTCAGAAATATTCATCTCAGTGATAAAATCTGTTTCAGTGATAGACACATTGCAGTGGGCAAAATAGGTGACATTCTCACCAAAGGGCCTCATAGATATAAGCTGGCACTAGAGTAGGGTGATTTGAGCCAGGATGGTAGCATCTGGGACGAAACACAGTTTCCCACAAATGCTCTGACTTTCATACAGTTCCAGTGGACCACATTCTGGCACAGAACCTCAGTGGTACACAAGGCTATTCTTCCTGGGTGTTGATGGAGATATAGCCAGCCAAGATCCTTATGCCTGGTCACTGTCCTCAGTTCTCTGGGCCGCTTCTGAGTAATTTGGTAGCTCTTGAGAGCTGTTCTTAGAACTGTGCTGAGTTGGGTTTCATGGTGCATCCCTATAATCCCAGAGACTTGGGAGGTCAAGGCAGGAGGTTTGCAGGTTTGAGGCCAGCCTCAGCAATTTAGTGAAAGCCTACGGAACTTAATGAGACCCTCTCTGAAAATAAAAAATAAAAAGAGCTGGGGATGTAGCTTAGTGGTTAAGTAACCCCTTGGGTTCAATTCCCAGTGTCAAAAAACAAACAAATTTGAACTCTACACAAACAAGACAGGGTTGAGTTCAATGTTGGAGGGCATTAGATCTGTTCCATAACCCCCATATGCAGATCACAGAGTTGGCAGAAAGAATACTGGCACTGAATAGCAACACTGTTGTATAAGTATCTCCTTTTTCCTTTTTCTTGTACTGGGTTAGATTAAACCCAGGAGTGCTGAACTCTGTCTCTAGTCCTTTTGATTTTCAAATAGGGTCTCACCAAGTTGCCAAAGCTGGCCTCAAATTTTCTTTTTTTAAAAAAATTTTTTTAGTTGTAGATGGACACAACATATTTATTTATTTATTTTTATGTGGTGCTGAGGATGGAACCCAGTGCCTCACAAGTGCGAAGCAAGTGCTCTCTATCACTGAGCTACAACCCCAGCTCTGGCCTCAAATTTTCAGTCATCTTGCTGGGATTACGGGCATGTACCACTGCACCCAGCTGTGTCTTATTATCCAACTGAGCATACAATTTTTTCTTTTGTTTTAATTGGTGTGTTTTAATTATACACAATAGTGGGGCTCATTATGGCATATTTGCACATGTACATAACACAGTTTGGTCAATTTCATTCACACATAACTGTTTGTGAGTCAGTAACTTCACTAGTTCCTTTAAGCAAATACAGCTTTACTTCATAAAAAAATTTTGAAATTTCATCAGCTGGAAAGAACTTCAGTACAAACAGAGGATGCATTTTAAAACTCAAGTTGTTGTCATGGCAATCACTTCCCGGAACAGAATTACTATCCCATTAGAGAGCTTTCCCCAATGTCGAAACTGAGGTTTGGGGAATTTCAGCAGTCAGGATTTCCACATTCAGGATTATAATCTTTCAAAATAGTGATTTCAGGATTTTACACCTTAGGGATTGCAACATTCAGGATTTTGGTGTTCGGGATTATGATCAACACTGGATAAAAGACCTTCTCACTTAGATTCCTGTGTGGTAAGATCTGTTACACACCAAAGTAAAAGAAGGCATAAAAGAAAAACAAGAGAATCTACCTAAGATGATTCTATTAATGATAGTGTTTATGTCTAAGGGTGTGGAAATAAAGTTAGAGAAGGATTTGTAACAAAAACTGTCATTTTCTAATTCACTATTTGTTATTCCTTTAGATACAGAATTCCACATTTTTTCAAACTGAAAATGTGCACAGCAAAATCATTACATTTACCAGCTTTCCTTCTGGATAACCGTAGCTTTTTATGTAAATTTTGACCAGTGATGTCTTGAGTAGAATTTGTTGGGTGAATCTCCCACAGAGGATCCATAAAAGGAGACAAATGGAACCCAACCTTTTATTCTTTCCCCTTCCTGGAAACGTAATAACATGGCTGGTACTTTAGGAGTTTTAACAAATCATGAGGCAGCTAGGGGGATAGAGGAGTTTGTATCTTTTCTTTTTGATTTTTTTTAAGTCTTTTTTGTCCTGGTGATTGAACCTGTGGGGGCTTTTACCACTGAGATACACACCCAGTCCCCCATCTTTTTTTTGTGTGGTGCTGGGGATTAAACCCAATGTCTTGTGCATGTGAGGAAAGCACTCTACCAACTGAGCTATTCTCCAGCCCCCACACCCAGCCCATTTTATTCTGAGACAAAGTCTCACTAAGTTGCCCAGGCTGGCCTTAAACTTGAGATCCTCCAGCCTCAGCCTCCTGAGTTGCTGGGATTTCAGGTGTGTGTCATTACACCTAGTGAGCTTGTGTCCTTGATGACGTCACTGAACTGTCTACCCCAGACCTTGTACCCATGAGGGAATATACTCTTTTGTGTTTAAGACACTGCAACGGGCTGTTACTGGGATGTGAATGCAATTTACAGCTGGCTTAAAATTTCATCTCAACCCACATTGGTTTCCTTCTCCCATCAATACATATACTATAGGGGTCTCACAATGGCTGTGAAGTAGCCTGAGGAAGTGTCTCTGAGGGAAGTGCATACTCATGGTGACCTGACATTGCAGAGGATGTCATGAGCTGCCTGGAGTAAGAGCACAGAACCCAGTCAACAGTCACGTAACTCCCCGGGCCATCTGAATGGGGTATGTGTGGGGGGTACTCCTTTCAGTGGCCATCTAAAAAAGAAAAAGAAGCCTTTTTATTAGGTGTGGTATGCAAAGATGACAGTCAACTTCTCTTTATCTCCCACCCCCAACCACCTTGGTCTCAGTGCTTGGTGTTCCAGAGGTTGGTGTGGTCTTCTGAAAGGATGGAGCGGAGGCAGTTAATTATGTTAGATATACTTCTTTTTGCTGTTGTCACTCCCCCTGTCCCCAACATTTGTTGCTTGTTCAAAAGGACATATCCTAGGAGTCAGTTAGTCTCAAAGTAGCATATCTCTACAGACAAGAAGTGCACAAATATAGCCTGACCACTCTCTCCTTGTGTGACATTCTGTTCTGACTAGATCAAGCCCCTTCATTACAGTGCACAACCCATCACTGAATTCTGTTGTTTCACCCTTCAAAATGTTGTTTCTCCCCAAAGTTCCCATAGCTAGTACTCTAAAAATGGCTGGTAGTACTTCATTCTGGGATTAATGCAACAGCTTTCTAACTAGCCTGGCCCTCATATCAATGCCAGACTGCCTTGCCTGAAAAACTACTTTTGATGTCTTACCTCAGCTAACAGATGTCTCAACGTCCTTTTACCAATCTTATCAAATCCATGCTCTTTTTGGTTTTAGAGAAAATCCATAATGAGGGCCCAACCTGAATTTCCTCCTTCACCCCAACATATGCCCTGAGTTTCATTTTCCTGCCATCTGTAAACAACCTCAGCCCTTCCTGGAAGTTCCTCTTTGCCTGATGGGAAACCTAGTCATCCTTAGGCTGCAAAGGGTGTGGAAGAAAACAACAGAAACTCTGCTCCCCACCCACCTTTTTTTTTTGAGAGGGGTCTGGCTGTGTTGCCTAGGCTGGTCTCCAACTTGTGGACTCAAGTGATCCTCCCACCTCAGCTTCTGTGTAGCTGGGACTATAGCCAGCATCACCACTCCTAGCTTTGCTTCTTTTGATATTATTCTATTCAGTAAAGACCCAAATTATATCAAAGACAGCTTAGTGTTTTCCTAATTAACACAACTGAGGATATTTTTAAATTGTTGAGAAAACGTTTGATACAGCTTATTGGACTATAAAGCAGCATAGGAAAGATTTCCCTGTTGTCCATCTTTTATATTCTCCTGGGCAATTGGTTCATAGAAGTCACTCTGAACAAATACATACAGCTTGACTGACTGGGCTTAGTAGTCATGAAGTATAAACTTCTGTGTTTTGGGTTCTAATTCCAACATTTTTTTTTTTTTTTTTTTGTAGTGGGGATTGAACCCAGGGATGCTCTACCACTAAGCTACATCCCCAGTCCTTTTTGTTTTGTATTTTGAGACAGAGTCTCACTAGATTTCTCAGGCTGGGCGATTTGTGATCCACCTGCTTCAACCTCCAGAGGCCCTGGGATTAGTGGCATTCTCCACTTTGTTGCCTCTAATCCCGAACTCTTACCTTATTAAACCGTGGGACCACTGCAAGCTGCTTAATCTCAACGACAATCTTTCATTGTCGCCTGGAGTCGACAACACATACATTTACAGAGATAAATGCATGTAAATCTTGCAGTGCAGTCCATGGTAGACGTCCATAGCAGCACTACTGTCAGACAGCCAGCGGGATGGGGCTGGCCTGGCTTCTGGCCTGGTGAAGGCCTCAAGGCCAGTTTACTGGCAAAGCAAGGTCACTAAGGGCACCTGGCAAGAAGACGAAACATGAGGGCACTGTCCCTTCACCCTCCACTAACACGCTGGCTGCCTTCCAAGGGACGGTCCCTGGGGCTCTTAGGGAGAGAAAAAGTCCCCAAACCTTCCCCGGGCGGCTTCCAGACCCCGTGCGGCAACAGCAGTACCACCGCAGCCTAGAGGGGGAGGGCTGCAGCGGGCCTCGCAGGCCCCGCCTTCGGGGGGGCGGAGACGAGGGCAGGCCTGTGGGCCATACCAACTCTACATGGGGGGGGAAACGTGCGCCTTCCTCTCGCTACACGTCACAGAGCCCAGGCAGATAGGCAGCAGGGTGGTCACGACTGCGAAAAAGCTTACCGCTCCCTCTTCCAGCCTCCTGGACGCAGGGTGTGAGGCCTGCGCGGGATGACGGTTCTCCGGCCGCCCTGGGTTCCCCCCGCGTTCCTCCTGTGGTGGACGCGGCCGGAGGGGGCGGGGCCCAGGCGGCGAAGGTCCTTATGCGCTGCCCGGGACACCGCGGGCACACGCTCGCTGGTGTGGTTCGGCGTTGCGTCTGAGAGGCTCTGAGGCGGCGGCCGACGGCGGAGAGCGCTATGTTGTCCCGGGCAGCGTGCAGGTGAGATGCGGGCGCCGGGGCCCGGGGCGCTCCGCCGGGGGCGGCAGGTGTCCGGTGCGCGCGTCGGGAGGCGGGCGCGGGGCGGGCCGCACGTGACCCGGGTGCCCTCTGTCTTCCAGCGCGGGCGCGAGGCTGGCCCCGGCCCTGGGGGCTCTGGGCTGCCGGCAGAAGCACAGCCTCCCCGACCTGCCCTACGACTACGGCGCCCTGGAGCCGCACATCAACGCCCAGATCATGGAGCTGCACCACAGCAAGCACCACGCGGCCTACGTGAACAACCTGAACGTCACGGAGGACAAGTACCGCGAGGCGCTGGCCAAGGGTGGGTGCCGGCGCCGCAGCCCCGCGCCGTCTGCGCACGGAGACCCCCGAGTTCGCCCCGCACGAGGGCCGCCCCCAAACCATGATCCTCCCCATCGTAGAAGAGTGTCTTGTGTCTTGACTGGTTTGTTTTCTTACCGTCCCAGAAAACAGAAGCCACGAAGGAAGTTGTGAGTTTGACTGTGTTAAGCCCTTTTCTGTTACCCATATTGGTGAGTTGTAAAGGAAGCTCTAGCCCCTGTTTGCATATAAGCATTTAAAATTTGCACTCGTTATGTAATGTGCTCTTGGAAATGTTTGGACTCTCAGGTAGGTTTGCCAATCATTAGCAAGAGGTCTGAGGGCACTCATACACTTGTGGCCCAGATGCAAGTGCTCTTGAATGTTGGGGTCAGTCCTGAAAGGTGGCCTGGGGCTTTGCTGTCCCCACTTCCTCTCTGTGTCTGGGCCTCAAGTGGAGGAGGACAGCCTCTCTGCCTCCTCTTTCAAGTGTATTGTAGCGTTAAGCAAGCAGTGCCAGGTGTGGTCCCTCTGATAGTGGGAGAAGGAAGGAGACTGCTAGGTGATAGGAACAGTGGTCCTTGACATCTTCCTGGAACTTCCTGAGAGTCCAGTCTACGACTGGGAGATTCCTTGTATCCTGAGCTGCCCTGCACCGTGAAACTTGATTTACTTTATGCGGGAGAGAAGAGGCAGGAGTCAGCATTATGATGTTCAGTACCAAAAAAGCACTTAACCTGGTTGTGAGACAGGTCAGGCCTCTGTGGACTTGGTTTCTGTATTTAATTTAGGGGTTAAAATTCACAAAAAAAATAGTCATTCCGTGGGAAACAATATTTGTAAATTGGATTAAAATATAATATGGAGTTAACTTTTATTTTGGTACCAGGAATTGAACCCAGGGATGCTTAACCACTAAGCCACATCCCCAGCTCTTTTAATTTTTCACTTTGAGACAAGGTCTTACTAAGTTGTTTAGGGCTTCATTAAGTTGCTGAGGCTGGCTTTGAACTTGTAATCCTCCTGTCTCAGCCTCCTAGGCTTCATTAAGTTGCTGAGGCTGGCTTTGAACTTGTAATCCTCCTGTCTCAGCCTCCTAAATCATTGGAGTTATAGGCACCTGGTTGTTTTTTCTTTTCTTTTTAAGTGCTGAGTTGATAAAATCAGTAGTATATGATTTTTGTGTTTATGGCTCTGAAGGTGTATATGGGAATATTGTTTTAATATCTCTGTAAATAATATTTTGTTTTGTTCCATTAGTTTGCACAATGGAAAAATAATTGATAGTTGTTTTCAGACTATATTGCTTGATAAACTACACAGTAAAGAAAATTTCCTTTTTTTTCAAAAAAGTGTTTTTGTTGCATTTCAGGCCTATGAAATTTGTTAATTTTCAGAGTGACGTTTGGTTGACGAGGGACATCTAGTGGACAGAAGTAGTATTTCAGCCAAATTGTGTTTGAGGTAAATAAAAGGCTACACCTAAAGAGCAGGAAGTTACCACATTCTGGAAGATTTGCTTGCAACAGTTAGATGATTTGAATACGGGAAAAGGCTGTGATTTAGGAAATAACAAACTGTGATGTGGTAATGGGGAAGCTGGGAAGCTCCCCGTTGTGAAAGTATTTCCAGCAAGGCAGCATCTGACACCTGGGAAACCATCTTTCCAATATTTTAAAGGCATCTTAGTTTTAATCCCTTTCTTGTGGAATCAAAGCTTTGCTTCCTTAATGATATCACTGAAAAAAAAAGTTGTTGTATTGCAGTATTATATTGCAGAGTTTCTTTTACATAGAAATTATATTTTTGAAATTATTAAGTAAATTTTCATATCTCCAATATTGTGATAAGAGTATAAATAAAATAACTTAATAATCTCATCATAACTGTCTTTTCAACCAAAAGTTCTTGCCTTTTTTTATTGCATTTCAGGGGAAAACCCTGATCTGAAACAAAAAAAAGTTAAACTTCAGAAAAGTCTTAAGAGCTTTAAATTGGCTAAGTAAACTTTAAGATGTTGAGATTATTATTTTTTATTTTTTTGAGATATTGAGGATTAAGGTTATTGAACCCAGGGTTGGCATATATCGGGGAAGCACTGAGCTACTTCTCCAGCCCCCCCCCCCTTTTTTTTTGGTACTAAGGATTGAACTCGGGCACTGTACCACTGGGTCACATTCCAAACCCTTTTTTGTATTTTATTTAGAGACAGGGTCTCACTGAGTTGCTTAGTGCCTGGCTTTTGCTGAGGCTGGCTTTGAATTCTTTATCCTCCTGCCTCAGCCTCCGGAGCTGCTGGGATTATAGGCCCGTACCACTGCGTTTAGCCCTTTTTATTCTATTTATTCTGTTTTGAGACATGGTCTTGTTAAATTGCCCAGGCTAGCCTTGAATTTACAGTGCTTCAGCTTCAGCCTCCAAGTAGCCAGGGTTACATATGTGCATTACTTGCCCAGCTTAAAATGTTGAGTTTATTAAATTATCTCTTAGTAAACATGTTTCTTTTTCATTTAGGAAAAACAAGATGGGCATGCTGGCCTATGCCTATAATCCCAGAGACTGGAGGCTGAGGCAGGAGGATAAAAAAATCTGAGGCTAGCCTCAGTAATTTAGTGAGAACCTCAAGGACTTACTGTTTAAGCACCCCTGGGTTTGATCCCTAGAACCGCAACAACAAAAAAGCATAAAACCTGTATTTACATTTTTAGGGTGACTCCAAGGAAAATTAACAAGGGAAACACTGATTTATAAATGTATTTTTATACATTTTTTAAAAAAATTATTTTATTTGAATATTTATTTTTTAGTTATAGTTGGATACAATATCTTTATTTACTTATTTTTGTGTGGTATTGAAGATCGAACCCAGGGCCTCTCATGTGCTAAGCGAGCACTCTACCGCTGAGCCACAACTCCAGCTTGCTAAACAAGTAGGTGAGATAAGTTTTCTGAAAGAAAATCCTAAGAGGTTACCTGTGGATTCAGATATCACTTAATCCTCTCCTTCTGAATTGCTAACAATTGGAGATTTGGCATTGTTTCAGAAGACAGAATTTCTTAACTGGTTCTTTTTTTATTTCCAGCCTTCAGTACAGTGGGTTAAACTCTCCAGCACTTTTTTTTTTTTTATGTTTTATTTTGAGACAGAATCTTGCTAAGTTGCCCAGGCTGGCCTTCAATTTGTGATCCTCCTGCCTCAGCCTCTGAAGTCGCTGAAATGCCAGGCATGCCCCACCTTACCTGCACCGAGACGTTCAGATCAGGGCTTGAGAACTTTTTCTACACTTCCAGCTCCTGGAGAGCAGAGCTCCAGTGGTTCGCTTTCACTTTGCTTTTCTTGGTAATTTGAATAGAAAGAACTTGGTACATTTTGTACAGGGGATTTCTGTTTTCTCAATACTTCAGTTAATCTGTAGTTTCTGGAAGAAGCAGAAAAAAACTTATTTCACCTACTTGTTTAGCAAGCTGGAGAAAAACCTTTTTGGTTTCAGTTTATTTTATCTAGTGTTTTGAGAATATATTCAGATTGTCCAAATATGACATTCTTTTTTGTTAAACTATAGATTGGAGAAAGTTTTTTTTTTCCCCTCAGAAATTGTACTCAAGGACTAGGGTTGTAGCTCAGTGGTAGAACACTTGCCTAGCATGTGTGAGGCACTGGGTTCGATCCTCAGCACCACATAAATATAAATAAAACAAAGGTATATTAGTGCTGTGCACCAGCTATAACAAAAAAAAAAAAGAAAAAATTGTATTCAATGTATTTTTTTCTTGCCATTTTTCCTTTTTTTAATTATTTATTTTCATTACGTATTCAATGTATTTAATCATCTAGTGAATCAACAAATATTTATTGAGTGCCTGCTGTGTAGGTGGCAGTGGGTAGTGTGTTAGGAATTGAGAACCGAAGTCATACACAAAAGCCACTGTGCCAGTGACTTGGGAGACTGGGGCAGGAGGATCACAAGTTTGAGGCATGAAAATGGCCGAAGATATAGTTCAGTGGTAGAACACCCCTGGGTTCAATCCCCAGTACAAAAAACAAACACAAAACAAAACCAAACTACCTCCTCCGCCAGGAGACAGATGAAGCAGTGTGCCAGGAGTTATACCGCCTTCTAGGAGAGATGGGATGCAGAGTCTGGAGGGGTGATGGGAACTGGCAACTGGTATATCCTGGCCAAAGTCTGGTGAGTGCTGTTTGGAGAATGAGAAGAGGCAGAGGATGAAGCCTAAGCCCTCAGCTGGGAAGTGGTTCCAGCAGAGGCAGCAGTGGTCATCCTTGGCAGGGAGAGGGCATGCTGAGCTTGTCTTGGAAGGCTCCCCGGCCAGTGTGGCTGGCAAAGGGTCAGGTGACAGGTGACATGCCTCCTTACAGCTAGGTGTAAGACTTGGGGCGGGCTCCTAGTGAGAAGGGACATCTTTTGGAAACAGGACTGTGGCTCCAAAGTAGGTGGGAGATGCTAGTGCTGTGCACCAACAGGTAGCAGCAAAGTTGGGGAGAAGGGATTGGATTCTGGATGTCTTTTTTGAGAGGGGTACTGGGGATTGAATCCAGCTTCCTCCCAGCTATTTTTATTTTTTAATTTTTGAGACAGGGTCTTTTTAGGTCATAGAGGCCGGCCTTGAACTTGCAATTCTGCTGTGGCTTCCAGAGTTGCTGCCATTATAGGCGTGTACCATTGTGTCCTTAAAGGAGAGCTGGCTTTGCTGATGGGTATCCTAGTGGATTGGGTGTAAGGTGTGAAAGGAGAAGAATTAAAGGTGATATCAATGTCCTGTGGGACAGCTGGCGTTCACTGAGATGGTGTCTGCCATAGGAGTAAGTTTGGAGTTGCAAATCAGGAGTTCAGTGTGAATAAGTTGAGTTTTTTGATAATGTCAATTTAAAACGTTTCCCAGTATTTGTCTGTCTTGAAATGAGAGCTGAAAGTTTCCCTGTTGTAGGTACACTGAGCCGTGCATTTTAGCTCGTTTACTGTACTTTCTTTGCTCTCTTTAGTGTTTTATTTGCCGAAGTCTTTTTTTATCCAAGAGAACCCTCAGCCTTTGGTGGTCAGGAGTGAATTTTCTCCTAGCTTTACCTTCTCTGCTGTGCTCAGCAGTTCTGCATGTGATTAATTGAACTGAAAATCCACTGGGTGTATAATTTGGGGAGTGTCCGATTTTTGATAGAATCTGAAATTGCTGAATTTTAGAACAAACAGGCTGGTACAATTATCTGCTAACTCACAAAGGAAAAAAAAACAGTGTTAGAGTGATTAAAGAATAAAAATGTTTTAAAAATGTGTTTGCTTTTTTACATTTCAGGAGATGTTACCGCTCAGGTAGCCCTTCAACCTGCACTGAAGTTCAATGGCGGAGGTCATATCAATCACACCATTTTCTGGACAAATTTGAGTCCTAATGGTGGTGGAGAACCCAAAGGTTGGTATATATTGGTTCACCTTATCTATATATTTGCACAGTAGTAAAGATTGCTGATTTTTTTTTTTCCCCTTTGGTGCTGGGGATTGAAGCCAGGATCTCATGCATGCCAAGAGTATACCCTACTCCTGAGCTATATCCCCAGTGCATTGTTGATTTTCTTGTTACCATAATTCTCCCTAAAGTACCATACTGGCATATCTTTCATAGCAAGGGGCATAGCAGAGTTGTAACTTTCAAAGGGAAAGACTAGGAAAGGAGAATACATTCAGGTAGTTACGTCCTCAGTTTTTACACACACACGATTTCACTACACTGCCCTTTCTTGGTTTAAATATTAGAGAAAGACTGAGAAACAGTTTTTGGAAAGGATTAACTTTCCACTTACTAGCCTGGGATGTCCAGGGTAGGATACTGTGTGAGACAGAGGGAATAATGGGGCTGTTTTCAAAACTAAATGTAAAGTGCTTAGAAAGGTGTCTATGTCATTAATGTTCCTGTTATGAGGTCACTTGTCACAAAAAATTAGGTTTTCCAGGTGTTTTTAAAAAATTACAAATAGGGCTGAAGTAGTAGCTCAGTGGTAGAACACTTGCCTAGCATGTGTGAGACCCTGGGTTCGTGCCCAGCACTGCAAAAATTAAAAACAAAACAAACTGCTGCAGGTAACGAGGGGCACACAGAGCAGTGTCTGGTTCACTGCTTTGTCAGTGTTGCTGTCTGACTCATTATTCCCCTCCCCCCCACTACCCCCAGCCGAAGGTATGAAGCATAAGTACAGGTCTCTTGTTTTTTCAGTACAAGAGTTTCTGGAAGCCATCAAATGTGACTTTGGTTCCTTTTAGAGTTTAAGGAGAAGCTGACAGCTGTCTCTGTTGGAGCCCATAAGTCTGGACTCCTTACACATACCCTAAGTTTCTGTGATTTTATTGGTTTTTTTTTTTTTTAAATATATATATATTTTAGTTGTAGATAGACACAACAACTTTATTTTATTTATTATTATTCTTTTTTTATGTAGTGCTGAGGATCAAAACCAGTGCCTCACATGTGCTAGTCAAGCGCTCTACCACTGAGCCCCAGCCCTTACTGTTTGTTTTTAATCAGTGTTATCCAAGGCAGCTTATCTTATGCCTGCAAAGTTTCCTTTGGGGTGATATTAAATGGGGGAATAAGTCTGGGAAAGTGGATAATTTATTTCTTCTGAATGAGGCCTTAGAATTGAGACTTAATGCCTTTGAGGTTTGTCAGCTACCAGAATATCAGATATACCTATATTCAACCAATGGTTTTGGCATTCTTTGACATTTTGTATTATCTGTACCCTTTGATTCCATTTACACTTATAAAAGATGATTACTTTTAAGCCAGTAGTCTATGAAAAATGAGATATGACCCAGTTGATTTAGTTGATATGCTCAATGTAGAATTGATTCTACAGTGCTACAGAATAAAAAGTTTATGGCTCTCTTTTCCATTTTTTGCAGTATAGTGGATAGAACCTCATGCATGCTAAGTAAGTGCTGTACTACTGAGCTACATCCCAGCCCAGTTATAGCTCTTAAAGTATACCTTTAATTCGGTAATAGAAGGGAAAAATCACCCTGTTTAAAACAATCACGATAAGAAGATCAAGCCTGGCACAGTGGTGCATGCCTTTAATCCCAGTGACTCAGGAGGCTGAAGCAGGAGGAAAGATCTAGGATGCCTTGGAGAACTGAATAACAGCCATAACTTTTTTTTTTTTTTTTTTAAATTTTGGTACTAAGGATTGATCTTGGGGGCAGTCAGCCCCTGAGCTACACTCCAGCCCTATTTTGTATTTTATTTAGAGACAGGGTCTCACTGGGTTGCTTAGCACCTCGTTTTTGCTGAGGCTGGCTTTGAACCTGCGATCCTCGATCCTCCTGCTTCAGCCGGCCGAGCTGCTGGGATTACAGGTGTGTGCCACTGTGCCTGGCCAGCCATAACTTTTTATTCCCCAATGGGGACATAGAGTAAGTAGGCTAGAAGTCAAAGTAAAATTTTCTATTGAGGGGGAAAGTTTTAAAAGAAGCAATGGAAAATGAATTTATTCACTGGTAGAAATAGCACAGTGAGGGGCTGGGGATGTGGCTCAAGTGGTAACACGCTCGCCTGTCATGCGTGGGGAACTGGGTTCAATCCTCAGCACCACATAAAAAAATAAAATAAAGATGTTGTGTCCACCGAAAACTAAAAAATAAATATTAAAAAAAATTTTCTCTCTCTCTCTCTCTCTCTTTAAAAAAAAAAAAAAAAAAAAAGAAAGAAATAGCTCAGTGAATAAAGAAATCCCTAATGGTATTAGACTAGCTTCACTAAGAACCATGTGGATCATAAGTGTGAAACTACATCCTGTTGTCAGCAGGAGGAAAGCTGGTGTGGTGTGTGCTGGATTATGTTTATCTTCTTGGGCCATGTGACAAGAATATTTTAATATACATAATATTTTATTATAATTGTTGAAATCTGTTTGTGTTTTGGATCTTTTTTTATAGGAGAGTTGCTGGAAGCTATCAAACGTGACTTTGGTTCTTTTGACAAGTTTAAGGAGAAGCTGACAACTGTCTCTGCTGGTGTCCAGGGCTCAGGTTGGGGTTGGCTCGGTTTCAATAAGGAGCAGGGACGCTTGCAGATTGCTGCCTGTGCTAATCAGGATCCATTGCAAGGAACAACAGGTTAGATTTAAAAACTGCTACTTATTTCCTTTGGGAGATGTGGTTTATGTAGGCATGTAACTAGGAATAAGGAAAACTAACAGTGTTTAAACTTACCATGAATATATAATAGTTTAAACAAACCTTATACCCAGAGTCTTGAGTAGGTAAAAAATGCTCCAAGAGTTTGCTATTTTGTAAAATATCACATATAATTTTTGTAGATACACTAACAATCATTTTAATCTAGATCCTACTTTGTTCTACAGAGAATCAGTATTAGTTTAATTACTTATATGCACTAAAATAAAAAACTGTAACTAGATGACAAGAGGGAAGCTCAAGTGGAGCGAGGCCCACATCTTTTCCAGTGCTCTCCCCTTTGCCAGAACTTTTGGTTAGGCTGGGGCGAGAACTCGAGTTTCCACACTCTACCTATCTGCTCGTCTTGGTATGTGTAAGTATTTGACTTGGAAACTCTGGGCTGGACTCAGCAAATCCATTTTTTCTGTTGGGTCTCATTGAATTGGTAACCCCAAATAACATGTCACTGGAGAGGATAGGATAGAGTCAGAAGTCATAGGCAGTCAGCTGGGGCTCTAAGCTGGGATGGAATGAATTTTACCTGATTTCTTAACATTAAGCAGCGGTAGTTCTCTGCCACCTCCCCCCTTGCACTCACCCGACTCACTTCCCTGACACGCTCAGATTTTGCTGGAATCTAAACAGTTCTTTTGGAAAAGTCCCAAAAGAGTCAAAGAGTTGTGAGCCTGAAGGTTGCAGAGTCAGGTGCAGCTCAAGGTGCCTATTGGGAAGATTGGTTTCTGTGGATCTGAGCACAGTGCTTCTTTCTCTCCTGCTTGGAGAAAGCCCATCGGATGATAAGGCACGACTTTTTACATATTGGGAAAAATCATGACATTTTTTTGCTGCTTTTTTAATGATAAATTGATAGCAACACATCTCACAACTGGTCAAGACATACTGTTGAGAATTATTTTGGTAGAAGAGTTTGAGAGTTTTTTTCCTTTTTAATTTGGTGCCTATGGTTGTATCTAATGGTGGGATTTGTTAACATATTCATACATGCACATAGTATAATAATATAATTTGGCCAATATATTCCCCAGTATTTTCCCTTTCCTCCTCCCTTCTTGGATCTCTTCCTCTGTTGATCTCTCTTCAATTGTTGTGAGATCCCCCCATCTTTCTTTTCCTTCTTCCTCTCTAGCGTTTAGATCTGAGAGAAAACATATGACCCTTGACCCTTCTGAGTTTGGCTTATTTCGTTTAATATAAGTTTCTCAAGTGTCATCTATTTTCCTGTAAATGATAATTTTTTTTATGACTGAATAAAACTCCATTTATTTATGTTTATTTTTAGTTGTAGGTGGACACAATACCTTTATTTTTAATTTTTTTTTGTGTGGAATCTTTGGGGAATACCTTTATTTTATTTATTTATATGTGGTGCTGAGGATCAAATCCAGGGCCTCACACATACTAGGCGAGCACTTCTGCTGAGCCACAACCCCAGTCCCCATTTTTTGTATATACATTTTATTTATCCATTGATGGACACTTAGGCTGGTTCCTAGTTTGTCTGTTGTGGACTGTGCTACAAACATGGATGTGCCTGTCTTTTTTTATGGATAGAACTGAGTTCTTCATTTACCTTATTTGATTTCTGAAAATAGTATGTTATCTTCTTCAGTCCTTTTCCTTGTAAACTTGCTCTTTTATTAGTGCCTCATAACTGGTGTTTACTCCCTAAGACTACAGTTAGCTTTGGGGAGCAGAGCAGGTTTCTCATAAGCACCCAAGTTTTCATGCCTTTTGGAAGAGACAACAAAGCCTCAACCATATCCCCGCCCCGAGACATAGCACATCCTTACTGTGGCATCTGAGACCACTGTGAGGAAGGCTGGGGACTGGTTGGTTCTTCTACGAATCTGTTGGTATTTTAAAAACAGCTATTAAAGTACGGTAGTTACTTGATTTTCCCAAGTCTTTTTTTTTTTTTTTTAATTGAGATTGAACTCGGGACTGTGCTACTTCTAGGCTATGTCCCCAGCAGTTTTCACTTTGAGACAGGGTCTTGCTAAGTTGCCCAGGCTGGGTTCAAACTTGAGATTTTTCTGCCTCAGCCTCCCAAGTAGCTGGGATTCAATTCTAATTCAATAATTTTTTTCAATTTATCACATTTTCTTCTGAAGTAAAGTTTAAAATCTTTTATTTATAGGAATATTCTTACACAAAAAATAAGAAACCGCCAGGCACAGGGTTGCATGCCTGTAATCCCAGCAGCTCAGGAGGCTGAGGCAGGAGGATCGTGAGTTCAAAGCCCGCCTCAGCAACAATGAGGCACTAAGCAACTCAGTGAGACCCTGTCTCTAAATAAAATTTAAAAAAGGGCTGGAGACATGGCTCAGTGGTTGAGTTCCCCCAAGTTCAATCTCTGGTACCCCCCTCCCCCCAAAAGAAAGAAAGAAAGAAAATAAACAAATAGGTGAAATTGTTGTAAATGGTATTTTTGTGTGCATAGAATAATAAAATTTAAATTGAGAAGCTATAATGTTTTAGATTGAAATTTAAAGATTTTTTCTTTTTTCTCTTCTTTCTGGTAGGTCTTATCCCACTGCTGGGGATTGATGTATGGGAGCATGCTTATTACCTTCAGTATAAAAATGTCAGACCCGATTATCTAAAAGCTATTTGGAATGTAATCAACTGGGAGAATGTAACTGAAAGGTACATGGCGTGCAAAAAGTAAAACAACATCATTATATTGAGTATGTTAAACTCCTTATGACTATTTTTGTAGTAGAGTACTGCAGTATACTAACAAGGCACTTGATTACAGCATTTATTGATGTTGATGATATATGATGACATATGGTGATTCATTGATGTTCGCATATTTGATAACAATAATTTAGTGCTATGAATGATTTCCTATTTTAAAATTTTGTTATTAGGCAACTGTTTGAGAATTATTACTGCTCTGTATAATTTAATCTTAACATTTTGTCAGAGAGCTAAACTTACTAGTGGTTTATAATTGTCATTAAAGAACAATAAAAAATATTCTATCCTGTATTTGGGGGCTTGTGGGAAAGGCTTTGTAAAAGTGCTGTAGGTGGGCTCATTGGGGCCTGGTTGGCACTGCCGAAAGTGGGGACCTCAGGGTGAGGCCATGGGCATTCTGGGGGACTCCCCATCTCTCTGTCCTGTTGAAGGGCCTCCCCTTCCTGAGAGCTGTGCTGGCCACAAGCCACCTTCCCTAGTCAGGCAAATGGACTTCTGCCTGGCATCAGCACTGTGTCCCCTCAGATGATTTCTTTCCAAAGACGTGCTTTATATTTCTGTTTTCTTCTAAAGAATGTATAGCCACTCCAAAACCTTTATATCATTTTTCAACAAAGGGAAAACTCCCCATGATCAGTGACAGCATTTCAGCTCATGTTCCAGGTAGTTCTGCGCAGGAGCACCGTGTACCTGCTGTTTACACGGCAGGCAGATGTTCTGCTGGTATCTGCGTGGCCATGTCACAGGTCCCCATCTTTCATCATCTTCCTCATTATCTTTGATGGCTATATGGCTTTTATCAATTGGGCATTTCTTAATTTATTTCATAGTTTTATTACTGAATATTTCATTTCTTCTGTTATTTATTATCCGTTTTGCTCTTGTGAGTATCCCAATCTCCTGTTGGGATGTTTTCTTTATATGTAGGTTTTTTTCTTAACCTATTTAGTAATGTTTTCCCAAGGTCATTTTTAAGCATTTTCCCTCCAACTTAATTTTTTTATTTCTTTTCATGGAAAAATGGAGTAACTTAGCAATTTCAATATTGAAGACTGAAGTTTGAAAAAAAAAAAAACCTTAAATTCAAGATACTTTTTCTTCATAGTTCAGTTAGAAAAGTATTTAGCTTTCTGAATGTCAACAGTGTTGACTATTGATAAGGGTGTATGTGTGTGCGTGCGTGGATTGACACACTCTAGAGATTGATTGCTGTCCTTTATATCACAGGGACATGGCTCTCATAGAGTGCAAATGGGGGGCATGTGGTTACCGCCGGCCTCTAATAGACCTTAGAGGAAAGTGGGACTTTCTGAGAGATGGGCTTTGGAATGCACATCTGCTACATCAGGGTTTAACTTGAGCTACAAAGATTTGCAGAATCTACTGACACATAAAGCTTTGACTCTTAAGCTTCCAGATTTTAAAACAATTCAATGTTGAAATTTCTATGGGGCTCTATTTTTCTCTGGCTTTCCTGTTGATGAGAATGATGTTTGTGCTTCTCCATGCTGGATGGAGGTTAGGAGACCAAGAGGATCTATGTACTCACGACTTGAATAGCCAGCAGAAGATGATGCTAACACTGTTTAACTCTCTTTTCCATAATAGAAAAGAAAAACAAGTAAAATTTCCATTTTTCTTTTGAAAAGAACAAATATTGTTCGTGCAAGGATTTGTGTGACCAGATCAGCAGTGCCTGCCACAGTCTTAATTGTGCTGGAGGGAAACAAGCAAGTGATACAGATATTTTGTTTTGAATTTGTTGCTTAAACTGTTGCGTAGTAATTAAATTTTAATGTTAAGAAATTGCTGTATCATGTCCCTCAATTTCATGGCCTTAAAATGAGATTTGAATTTGTGTTGAGCACCTTTAAAAAAGTAATAAAAAAAATATAAAATGAAGATTGATATGTGTTGTGAGTCATATCTGAAACTGGGTATAGATATATTTTATTTTCTATTTTAATTTCAAGGGAATTACTTTTTGGGGAAACTGTTAGGAAAATGATAAATTACTGTTCCTCCTTTTTAATCCTATGTTGCTGCTCCCAGCAAGCTGAGGTCCTGTCCTCTGAGATATGCACCAAACCCACTACCTGCTGGGTACTGGGTTTTCACCTTGTAAGGTCCAGGAAAGTTTTCATTTAATTCATTAAAGAAACATTGATTTTCCTATTGCAGTTGTGTAGTTTTCTGATTGTTAATAAAAGAATCTGTCAATTCTTCAAAGAGGTCTACATAATGCATATGGGTTACAAATGTTAATGAACCTTTAATGTTCTATCATTTTCACTGCTTTTCTGTGAAAAAGGAATACCAAATGAGAGTTGGTTGAAATTTTACTCTTAAAACCCAGAGGCACTGAGAATGGTGGTTCACACCTGTAATCCCACTGGCTCGGGAAGCTGAGGCAGGAGTATCATGAGTTCAAAGCCAGCCTCAGCAAGACCCTAACCAACTCTGTGAGACCCTTTCTCTAATTAAAATATAAAAAAGAGCTGGGGATATGGCTCAGTGGTTAAGTGCCCCTGGGTTCAATTCCTGGTACCAAAAAAAAGAGCTGGGTTCATGGTAGTGGCACACATCTGTCAACCCAGCAATCTAGCTGGAGGCTAAGGAAGGAAGATCTCAACTTAGACCCTGTCTCAAAATAAAAAGGGCTGGAGATGTAGCTGAGGGTTACTGCACTTGCCAAGCATGCATGAGGCCTTAGGTTCACTGCTTTTCTGTGAAAAAGGAATACCAAATGAGAGTTGGTTGAAATTTTACTCTTAAAACCCAGAGGCACATACACACACACCAGCAACCCCAGCAACACATACACACACACACACACACACACACACACACTAAACAACCAAAAAAAAAAAAAGGGCAAAGAAATCCTTGGCACCCACTGGTTGGTAGCAGGGAAGTTTGCTGCTTAAGCAAAAGTAAACCTCTTCTTTTTGTAACCTACCCAGTTGTGGTGTTGCTGTAAGCAAGAGAAAACAGACACATACATATGAGACTAGCTGGGGTGGACCCAGGGCTTTGCTCACCGTTCTGGAGGTGCAAGGTTCAGGGGCTGCATCTGGTGATGGCCTTCTTGCTGGCATGGTCAAGGGGAGTGTGCGTGTCTGTGTGGTCTCCCCCTTCTTAACAGCTGCCAGGATTCCAGCACAGGGGCTCCACCTTAGTGACCTTGTCTAATGCTGATCACCCCAGGCCCTGCCTCTCGACATAACTCAGATTGTAACCACCCTCTTAACACTTCCAGCACATGGGCCCTTGGGGGACACTCAGGTCATATCCAAACCCACTTCTAAAATTCTTTTTTCAACATAATTCTCAAGATCAATGTCTGCATCTCTAATTTCTTACCCTAGCAACTGCATAGCTCTTTCAAGCCACCGCAAACTGTAGGTTCATGAGGAAGGCCACATCTTTAATCTTTGTTTCTGGACTGAGTTTTTAAATCTTTTTTGCTCAATTTTTTTTTTTTTTTTTTTTTTTTTGGAATCATGATCTCCACTGCTTAGAATTAGAAGCACTCGGGTTTTTCCAGCTTTTGAGTTCTGCCTAATACAGCTCCCTACGGAATCTTTGAGGAACAAATTCTTCTCACTCCATCAGGGCTTGGTGAGGCTGTGTGGCCCTGTGCTTGGCTCTCCCTTCTGCTAGTTTGACCCACAGGGTCAGCTCACCACACAGACTAGTCAAGTTCTCTCTTTTCTTGGATGCTTGCAAAGTCCAGGAGTGGGCTTATGACTCAAATTGGGTCAAAGAAAATCTTCTCTAGCCACATCATCCATTTCCCCTTCCCTTGGGGTCCTGTACTTAGGGCCTATGAGATCGTGTCCCTTTATTCGTTACTGTGGATACATTTGTTGCAAAATTAAGACCAGAAAAGGAGGAGGGAAGAGCTGAGTGACCTAGAGCAGCAGAGCACACTCCACTGTGTAAGTCTGTGTCCAGCACTGCCTGGAGCCAGTGCTTGGGTTTACTCCCTGTATGAGCCAAGTTTCTTGAAATGGTTGTATTCAATTTTTGATTCATTTTTGATTGTGTTGCTTAAGTTAATTGAGTTGGATTTTCATCCTTGTAATAGAGAGTGCTCACACTGCCCCAGTGCACTTCTGCCTCAGCCTGCTGTGTGGACGCAGTGCCTGCCTGCTCCCTCTGCTCTCCTGCAGCACCAGGTTCCAGGTCACTCTTGGTTCTTTTGTACCTTTGGGTCCTCGCACTTGCTGTTCTCTCATCTGAGATCTGAGTCCTCTCTCTTACAGCGCAATGCCTCCTCTAGAAACCTCCTCTGGCCATCTTACTTAACCTATTTCCTTCAGGGAGATTCTGTACATATCTTGGTTATTTATGCCTTTGCCTGTTTATCGTCTGCATCTTCCCATTTCAACATAACTGCCTGGTTTCTGTTCTCACGACTAAAAGGCTCAGGGGTCACTCCAGTTAAACTGGGCAGACTGGGCTGTGCAAAGTAACCACACAAGAGACACAAATACCTTTTTCTTTGGGGTCGCTGTGACGGCTCCTGACCTTAAGAGTCTGCAGGAAGAGGGAGCGAGAGCACGCACTGACCCCTTTTATTGAGGAGAAGATATTCAAATGAGGCAAGGGGCCAGGTTTCAGGGGGCTGAGTATCTTCATGATGTCCACTGTCAGCAGGTTGACTGACACCTGGGTAGGCCACACCCAAGGGCACAGTAAGAGAAGGGAACACACACAAGGCACTTCCATGGAAGATTCTATCCTAAACAGGGCAAGGGGTTATATTACAAAGGAACAGGTGAGTGTAGCTTTACCCATGGGGTTGTAGCACCCATGCACAAGACACCAACCCTCGAACCCAAGAAGGGTGGGGAAAGCTCTGCCACATTTCTGCGACTGAGGGTCTCGGCACCCAGCCGGGGAGTGTGACTCAGTTGCGTGTAAGGTTGATCTCCCACACATAACCTTTAAGAAGGCAGGGGCTTTGGGGCACACCTGTAATCCCAGCTGCTTTGAAGGCTGAGGCAGGAGGATTGCAAGTTTGAGGCCAGCCTGGGCAATATAGAGCTTGTCTCATACAAAACAAAATAGAAGGCAGGGACCTTGTGATACCATTCTAGGCTCTATGTCTAATATATAACAGGTGCTCTGTAAAGAGCTCCCCTCTCCCCAGCGCAGGCCCAGGGCAGTCCTAGCAGTGCAGCTTGAAACCCCAGACTAGAAGTTCCCATGGTTCCTGTTGGTTCCCAGGCCTCCTGAAGTAAACACATATCAAATATGGTATCCTGACTAATATCACATAGGTTGTCACCATAGGGACTGCCGCAGTCCTGCTGGGTACAAATCACGAGCCACTGAAGCAGGAACAAACTTTATTTCTGAACTCCACCAGCACACTCCACACATGCTCCCGGGAACTCCCCTGAATGCCACGCACCTCCTCCAGGAACCAGCAACCGGAAAAATCCCTCCTCCGGCACTTTCCCAACCAATGGGAACTCTCCGGGAATCCCCGCGAGAGCTCAAGCAGAACTCAAGCGGAACTCCGCCAGAACTCAAAAGTCATCATCTTAATGGCTCGCTAGCGTCACCACCTCTCAACCACTACTTCTGGCAAAAATGCCATGTGTCATCCCGACTTGGCTCTGGCTCTCAACAAGGGACATGTAGCCATGTAGTTCAGAGGTGTGAATGTGTTCACGGGGTATATTTCCAATAGGAAGTCAGCCCTGCGTCTTAGCTTAGACTGCCTCAATGAAATGCAGGGGCTGAGTGGCTTAAATAACAGATGTTTATTTTCTCACAGTTTGGAGGGTGGATGTCCAAGATCAAGGTTGAGTTAGGGTTTGAAGATATGAATTCCAGGAGTTACAATTCAGTCAATTGGAGAGTCTTACCTTAATTAAGCCTCTTTTGGAGAAATATTCTCAGTATCCCAGGTGAGGGATGAATCAAATATTAGTCTAGACAAGTCAATTCCAAATGATGCAAGAAATATGGAAAAAGAATAAGTTTCAGTAGTGTGTATCTTTGATAATTAGCCAAATGTATAAAATGTATAAAACCTATACATAATGCCTGTTCTCACAGAATTTTAACATGGAGAATTTCTAGTCTTTTGAGGTCATAATCTAAGTACAAGCTTTACTTGTTTTCCTGGTTTTAAAGACTGAATATAAGATTTCTTTCATATTTCTTGGCTATAGAGGTAGGAAATAGATGAATCAATACTTTGATTTTGTTTTAATTGAATACATGTAAGAAGTCCCCTTTTTATTTATTTATTTTTTAAAATATTTTTTTTAGTTGTAGATGGACACAATATCTTTATTTATTTATATGTGGTGCTGAGGATCAAACTCAGTGCCTCACACGTGCAAGGCACTCTACCACTGAGCTATAGCCGCTGCCCAGCTTTTTATTTTATTTATTTATTTTTTTATTGGTTGTTCAAAACATTACAAAGCTCATGACATGTCATCTTTCATACATTTGACTCAAGTGGATTATGAACTCCCATTTTTACCCCAAATACAAATTGCAGAATCACATCTGCCACCCTTTTTATTTTTGAAAAGTCAAAATTTGATTATGTCTGTGCAGTTTTGCCTTTATCAGAATGTCATACCTGTGGAATCAGACTGGCTTCCTTCACATTACATAAATGTAATGCACATTTAAGTTTCCTTCATCATTTTTCATGTTTTGATGTCACATTTCTTTTTAGCCCTGAATAATATTCTTCAGTCTGGATGTACATACTACAACTTATTTATTGGACACCTGCTGAAGGGCATCTGTTTGTTTCCAACTTTTGGCAATTAGGAATGATGTTGCTATAACGTCCTGGTGCAGATGTTTTGCTGTATATAGGTTTTCAATTCATTTGGGTAGATGCTAAGGAGCATGATTATTGG